TATCTTTTATTTTTACTTTTTTAACAAAAACCCCATTAGGTGGATGGATGAGTCCCTCGTTGAAGCAATCACCCCCAAATTGATTGGAGACTGGCCCAACACCTACACGTTCTCCAAAGCTCTGACCGAGCATCTCATTCAGCAGGAGAAAGGGGACTTAAATGTTGCCATCATCCGACCCTCCATCGTGGGAGCTAGTTGGCAGGAGCCCTTCCCGGTAAGCATGTGTGCTGTTCGGTTGCTTGGTTCTCATCCATTTTCTGGCAAAATGGTGGCTTTAGAGCCAGTCCCTGGAAATAAGAATGTCCCTCTCATGCTTTGGCCGAAGAGGGGGAAGCCACCAACAATGATCTCTAAACTATGGCTTGCCTCCTGAGAGTGAAGCTGAGATTCATGGATGGGATGCATCATGTCATCTATCAGGAGGCCATGAGGTCACATGATTCCAAAAGAACTTCAGCAAGATGGACCTCACCCTCAAGGCTAAGATTAATTTTATGGACACAACCGCATCGCTGAAGGACAGACAGACAACACAGAGGGACATGTCTCTAGTCTCCATCCAGAAAACATGACAACGTCCCTTGTTTAGAGTCAAGCCCTTCAAATTAATTACACCTATAGAACTTCATTCTGCAGAAACACAGATCTAGGGCATTTCTCAGACTATAGTTCCCACATTCAACTGGGTTACACGGATTCCTCAGAACGATGTACAAGATTGGCTAGGCGCCGTGAGGGCTCACTTAAGTAGAAAGAATGGGCTGTAAAGAGAAGAATAAACACTGTAATACCACAGAGCAGTTTCAGAAGCGAACGTAAGAGAAAACCACTTATTCTCACAGTTTATGGCTAAAGCTACTCAGATCGGCAGCCCTGCTGGCCAGTCGCATTTCCCTTCCATGCACTTTGGGTGGAACACCAATGTCTGCTCCCAGCCTCGCAGCCTAGAAGACTGTGAGCTAATGAATTACAAGTAGCACACTAATCAACAAGAACAGAGGAGGCCACAGCGATTCAGGTATAGGAAACTGGATCCCATGGTAGACGTAGATGGCAACGCTGCCCCACGTGTTCTGTGCAAGACCTGGCAGCCTCATTCACGGAAGCAGGGGAAGACAACTCTCCCATCTTCCAGGCTGACCACCAGCAGCCCTCCACTGCGTTCTGCGCTGGACACACTGGCCAGTCTCTACACAGAGCAAGAAAGAGACGCATTTGTGGCATCAGAAGGGTTAACATATGAAAATCGGTGGAATATTTCAGGTCTCCAGGACTTTCCTTCACCGAGTTTAGCCTGAAATTGTTGAACTAGATTTTATTCGAAGATTTAATATCAGTTTTCCCTGACTTCATTAGGAGCCACATTTCTTACCGCACTATGCACCTTATTAACAAGTTCATCAACGCATGAATGCGTATATCATATCTAACTAGTGGTCTGTTAATGGTCATAAACTGCTCCTTTCATCTTTCCCTTTTCTTATCCCTCTCCCTCCTCAGTGACAAGTGTGTGTTTGTGTGTGTGTGTGTGTGTGTGAGAGAGAGAGAGAGAGAGAGAGGTGGGGGGAGAGAGGTTTCTGAGGAATGCATTCCAGGAATTTGAAATGGACTATGATCCACAAAGGTTTACAGAGAATTCATTAGTAAGAGAATGATCATGCAAGACTAGAAAACCCATTCATACCTTTCTTGCAGAGCGAATACTCACTACAGTATGTGCTGACAGTGTCTGAGGCTTTTTTAACAACTGAATATTTGAGCGAATTATCTCTTTTTCTTCTGAAAATGGGTAGTCTATTGTCTGAGAATTTCAGACTTTGGCCACGAAGGGTCTGTTTTTCTCTTCTGTTCCACCTGAGAGCGTAGCCTGAGATTTGTGTCCCTTCATCAGACTAGTAACTTCTATATCAGTTTCCAAAACTTGGGCAGAATTCATGTTACTACCATCTTGCGTTTTTCTGGTTTGTTAGCCCTTAGCAAGTATCCATACCTTACTTTTAACATTTTCTCAATCATCCTGTGAGCAGCAAAATTCTGCCTAAAAGTCCCCCCTTAGCCGGCTGAAATGAGCTGTGCATAATCTTAATATACACAAGGCAGACTCCACAACAATTGTTTTTCTATCTTTCATTTTTCAGGGTTGGGTTGACAACTTCAATGGCACAAGTGGCTTCTTTATTGCGGTAGGTAGAGATGAAAATAGTACTCGGGTCTTCTGAATCTTGGGGGCAGCAAAACGGCCAGAATGAATCCATGAGAACCAAAGCACGATGCTCAGCTGAAGGGATCAGGGCAGAGTCTAGTGATCCTGACAGAGCATAGCCCAGGCTGGTCAAGAAGCAGGTTCACCATGCCTGGTGAGTCCTGGGCCAGTCCAACAGCTCAGAACTCTGCCTTTTTGTCTTTCCTGACAATTATATCCACCACAGCGGTGGAAATCCAGATTCTGGGAAGGGCAGAGGTGGAGGATGTTGCACCATAAGACATCATGGGACATGTCAGTTAAAGCCCTCTTCTTCTAGGGACTGCCACCTTTTTAGGATTTGCACTGTACACCTTGCAACTCAGGGCCGTGTTGCTCTGCTGTCGAGGCTGGGAGGAAGGGGCTTCTGCAGAAGGACAACTGAAATTCTTTTTGGTTTATAATTTCATCCAAGCCAGATAATGCTATCAGTTTTCTCATTTGAGATGTGTTCCTCAAGTCCCTAAAATTTTCTTCCAAGTTTAATTCGGAGAACATATCTATCCCATCCAACTGTTATTGAATTCAAATCTCAGAGTACACAAACTCTATGCTGAATAAGGAAGTCAAGTTATGTATGGTAATTAGCTTCTTCTCTATTTCCCAGGCTGGAAAGGGGATTTTACAGACCATAAAATGCAACCGAGATGCAGTAGCAGATATTATCCCAGTAGACCTTGCTATCAACTTAACCATCACTGCTGGGTGGTACACTGCAGTTCACAGGTAGGGCTTCTTTGCTGATCAAGAGGTACACCGTTGAACTAGAATGATTTTTCAAGATTGTAGATTGTCAGGAGCTGCCAACGTCATCCAGGTCTTTAAAGTCTTATAACAGGCCAACAGTGACATCTGCCTCCTGCGGGCAGTGGTGCATTCACAGGCTCCATATGTTGGCTTCTGCCCATGGCCTTGTGAGAGAAGCCAGACACCCACACTCTTTGGTCCTGGGGTTTCTCTTGTGGGGACGGGCAAATGTTGCCATTTTGTACTTCTCGTCCTTCCTCTGGTCAGTCTACATCTCAAAGCCTGCAAGCAAGCTTCCACGGACAAAGATTGGATCGCCTGAAGATTGGACCACTTAAGATCTGGGGTCAGAATGTGGTCTATTGATCACTCCCTTGGTGACCAATAGACAGAAAAAGATTTAAGACAGGGGTGCCTAGGAAGGGGTGTGTGTCAAAAAATCAAGAGAGTGGCTGTGATCAAAACCTGCCCCTTTGTATGTGTGTTGAAGCTGCCATACACGATATGGTGGGCCTTCAATCAACAGTGATCATCTTGTCCTTCTTCACCTGCTCCACAAACACCTCTGATTTGCTATATTCCCATTTATATACCCCTATAACAAATAGAGTGTTAATATATTTGGTGTATTTTCTGAATTCTGAGTTGTCTTTTATTTCCATTCTTTTCAGACCCAAATCACTGCTGATCTACAACTGTACCTCAGGTGGCCTCAACCCATTTTTCTGGGGAGACTTGGGTGAGTTTTCTTGCAAGGCAGTCAAAAAATTCCACCAGAGGTTTGGGGTGAGTTTTGGAAATGATCCTTAACAGCTTGTTTCATCCAATGAAATTTCAAGACTTGTGGATAAGAGAGCCCAGCGTGGGATTCTTCTCACTTCATCTCCATGCAAGAATGAGAAGATGTCCTACTGCTCTCATCTAGCAAATGCAGAGATGTTGTCTGCCATGTTGTCCTTCACAAGGGCATCAAGGGTTGAAAGGGGCAGGAGTCAGCAGAGGCATCAAGCTGCTTCTTCACGGCTTCTCCTCACCATGTAACATCTCACTAAAATTCCTCTGTGCATTGTCTTCCGTCTGAAATGTAGATGCCACTCTAGTCTCCCAAACTCTGCTTCCCTGGAAGGTGGACAAATGGGTCTCCAGTCGGTGGGAGAAGGAGGTGGAGTTCTTCTTGGCAGAATATGTTGGGGTGGGGAGGGGGAGGGATGCACTTTCAAACTTGCAAGATTCTGTTAACATAACCTTATAATAAAGTTAGAACTAGCACTTCTGGGTGTGCTTCTTATCTGGAATGCCCCGCAAGGCTGACAGTGGAACACCCATTTATTTTATTATTTTACTGCATCAATGTCTAAGGCCACCCCCTTGGGAATTGCCAGATAAAACAAGGGGGGCAAAACACTCTTTGTAACATCACAGTACCAATAATAAATAGCAAGACCAGTCCCATAGGAAGAGCTGTTTCCTGTCCTCACAGGGAGATCCTCTGGTCCCTCTTCTTCATCTTTTCCAAATCAAATGTGACTGGAAATCACCCCTGGTTTGCTGATGAGCAAATGGCCTTTCCTTCTTAAATTCACATTTCCGATAATTGTCCCTTTTCCATGTAATTACCTCAATGGAAGCAGTATCTGTTTTCCACCACTATGCAGAAGATCATGCGAGAAGCACACTTGAAAACAATCCATTGGAGAAACCCTTCAGATTACCTAATGCCAGCCTAACCTCGAGCTACTTGGCCCATCAGTACTGGACGTTTGTCTGTCACACAACCCCTGCTTTTCTCTGTGACCTGTATCTGCGGCTGACTGGAAAGAAGCCACGGTGAGACTGGATATACATTATGGGGCATGAGGGGTGATGTCAAAAAAGTCAAGGTGACAATTTTAAGGATAGCACCCTTAAGAATAAGGAGGATCTTTTTCCAAGGAGGACCACCTTTTTCACAAATTGGGGATTGGTTAGGAAAAGGATCTCAGAAAGATTGACTTGCA